CCCCAATGTTTCGGCAGGGGTTTGATTCTGTTTTGTTGATTTTGACTATTTGTCTCCTTTTTCAAAGGGTAGGACTTAAACGTCTACGAACTTTTACCGATAGTTGAAGTTTATTATAATATATTGTGGGTTGACAGTATCGAAGGCCCTTTTTTGAGGTCAAGGTTTCCATCCCTATGATTTTTCCCCCTTTGACATTTCAGTTCTAGGTAACCCATCAGATTAAAAAGGGGAGGTGTGGTTGAGTGGTTTTCTAAGCCCGATTGATAGCTAGGGAGAATTTTGTTGCATTAAGGTATTTAAAAACTATTTGAGAATACACCGCCCCTCTAGATTTTAGATATTATATGGTTTTACAAACGGGGGCCTATTTTTGCTTCTCGGACCTACTATTTTCTTAAAAGATAGGAGAAACCTCTGGCCTCCTTGAACCCCCTCGGTACGGTATTGTGGTGATTGATAGATTTATTAGGCCCTTTGGGATTGAAGTTCAGAAGCCCACTTTTAGGAATTAGAGGGTGTTATCGGGGCCCTGTGTCTTGTTGGGGTTTTTAAACCTGCTTAGTTCTTTTTGAAAAAGTCATGAGTAATTCTAGTTGAAAAATGTTTGGGGTTTTACCCCTTTTTTGGTATAGTATTTTTAAAAACTTTCGAGCGGGGGTTAAGGTATTTGATGCAGGGTAGTTTACTTATAGTGTTGATGCACGAGTGTAGTGGGAATTAAAGAAATTTTGCCACCTTAGATGTTTCGTGGCATACCTCATTATCGATAGTGATTCTATGTTAGACCTATTACTGGCTTATAGCTACCCCCCAAACTGTTTTGTTGTTGCCCGGTTTCTGGGGTTTGCTTATCTCTTCAAATTTTTGAGCTAGTGCTTTTCCTTTGTCCTTTTTAAGTCTTGTTTCTCTGTTTTTACCCTTTTGGGAAATTTATTTAGTGCTGCAATTCCCGTCGTTTGCTTTAAATCTTTTTAGAAACTGGTCTTGAAATTTTATATTATCTAAATCTCAGTATTCTCCAGGGTTCAGTTTTTCGTTTAATCCAACCTCTTTAATGGTGCAATATTATCAAGGATGGTAGTGTTTATTGTTTTGAATTTTTTTCCCCGGGATGTTTACGTCCCGTGCAACTTGTTATCTCTGTCCCGTCCAATTGTTAGCCTATTACCAGTGTTTCTTTACTGTAGTTTCTAGCTGACCTCATTTTTTTGTCCTGTGTAGGCCTTATCCCATCCCCAGTGATTTTTGGTGCGTTAATGATGAAATGATCACTAAGACCCGTGGGAATGAGCCTGACTGGGTAAAGTTCCAGAGTGGGTTTAAAAATATGTGGTCATTAGGGTGGCTGAAACTGTGTGATCCGGGTTGGAGTATTAATTTGTTGGTGTAACTATTAATCCCGAATTTTCTTATACCTTTTGCATTTGCCCCTTATTTTGCTGCTGAAAAAAGATATTGAAGTCGCCCAGTATTTTGTCTCGCATGTTTTTTAAATCCGGGAAAAAACGGAAAAGTCTTCTAAAACTGGTCTTGGGTAGGGGGGCGGTAATAGTTCCTATAAGTGGGGGTTTTGGGCTTAGGAAGCAGCACTTCAAACCCTAGAATTCCGTTTTTGTATTTAAATAGGTCTTGGGTTGTAAGCTAAATCATTTTTAATGTAGGCACATACTCACCACCCTTTCTGTTCTATCTAAAACGTTTTTATTGTAACCCCTTTTTTTGACCTCTGTCAGTCACCGTATATCCAACCAAGATTCAGAGTGGTTATAACGCCCCCCTATTTTTTTTTTAGCTAGAATCCTAATCTCTGCCCAAATTTTGGAAGAAGTGATCTTGCATTGACATGAATAAAGTGAAGGCCCGTTTTTATAAAACAATCATAATCATAAAATATGGCAAAGGGGCATTTGTATTAAATTTGGTAAATCAATGTACACTGCTAAAAGGGGAAAAGTGTCAAAGTGCATTTTTTTACACACAAAAGAATTCTGGACCGTTTCTATATTGTACATACATCCCTCATGCACCCACCCCTTACACATTTTAGTAAAGGGGCCTTTTCGTTTTTCATTGTACTTTAGTAAATGTATCACTTTTGGTGTTTTGAATAATAATGGGGTGTTTGTCTCACATTGACCTATGATGCTTACATATGGGTTAAGGTTTATTCCTAGCTACTGACCCCATTACGCCGTCATTTATCTGTTGTTTTGCGTCTGCACAAAAGTTTGGGTCCGGTTAATTTGGTATCACCACTTAAGAGTGCTACAAAAGGCTGTGGCCAGTTTTTTTTTGGGCATGCGGGGTTGCCCAACCTTGCAGCGATAGGGGCATTTACTTTTCTGGTAGGATGGCAACTGTTGGGCTTTTACTGTCCAGGGCGTGTTCCCCATTTACCCTTTTTCCGCCCCAGACTATTTTTTCTTATGGAATTGAAAAAGAAATTAAAAATAATTAGGCAGCGTACCCCCCTAATGCCTGCCTTTTCACTCTTCGCTTTTTATCATTACAGTAAAATTTTTTTTCTTTTTCCAGTCCCTAGTACACTTGACTGCTTTGCAATCACCATGAAATCTAGTAAAATTTTTCCTCTTCAAAACCCTCTCTGCTCCTTTTCCCTTAAATTACACAAAACCCTTCAGTTAACCCCCTTTTTAACCTCCCTTCCCATCTCACTCACAGTCGGCTTCACCAATAACTTTAACTCCTTTTTCCCTTTGGTAGATCAGAAAGGTTTAATCCCTGGTTTTATCCTTTCCCAAATCCCCCCAAAATTTCCCTTTTTTGGGGGTTTTGTGGGTGTTGTCTCCCGACCTGTTCTGCTGACTCAGCCATTTTTAAAACATGAGGGGGGTAACGCCAAAAAAACCCGACTTTCCTTGGTTTAAGTAAATTTGGGGTTTTCTGCTAGATTTTTTTCACTGTACACTGGTCGCTGAAAATGGTAGCTACTAAAACTTTTTCCCTTGGGGCTGTTTAAAATATTTACTTCTTTCCCCGATTGGACTGGGGAAACGACCTTAACCTTGGGGTTTTTACTGTTGATTTGCGATGTTCCTGTGTTTCCCTCGTTGCACTGGTACAGGTGATATGGGTGGTACAGATATGATCTACTGTCCAGTGAAGTCGTAAAGTGAGAATTTTCCTTGCTAGTTGTACGTCTGGAGTAGCGGCTGTTTGGATGCGGTAGCCATGTTTAAAAAGCTCAATTCTTTCCCTGTTTTTTGGGACTGAAGAAAAAAATCCTACAGCCGTCATTTCCTTGGGGATTTTGTTGATCAGGTTTTCTGCCATGTTGCTTTCCCCTTTTAAAATGGTGAGTTGTATGGAGGTCAGTTATTTCATTGTAGTGGAAAACGTTCATGTCTGGTTCAGTTGGCGCAGGTCTGGTACTTGAATGCCGGTCCCTCTTTTTTTATTTAGTCCATTTCGTTGTTGTCACCGTCGTTTTTTTTTTCACTTAGGTTCCCCTTTATGTTGTTGGAGTACTTGCAAATTTGGCCCTCACTGGGTTGGTTTGGCCCAGGGGATGGGGTGAAGGTGTAGTGATGGTGGTAGAAGGTAGTAGTGATGTGGGAGAAGGTCGTGTGATGGTTTGGGAGGGGTTCCCTTTTTTAGTGATTCGTGATTTACCAACTCCCCCAAAGTTGTTGGAGTTTATAGGGTACAAAAACCACCGCCGATCAGCTGCTGCTTCACCCCCATTATGGCGCTTACACTCAGTGGCCCCTTTTATACCCAAAAACACAACAAACACTCTCGTGACATACGTAAAAAACTTACTTTATTCATTCTAGAGATATTCCCTTTTCTTGTTATTTTAAAATTTTTTATTTTGTCTATTGTTAATTGGATAGATAAATAAGCCATAGAGTTGATGTTAGTGTTTAAATTTTCCCAAAATAACTTGCCATCCCCCCCTCACACAAACAATAGCCAAAAAGAACTAAAATGGGGAAAACTGCAGGTCTCTGGCCCATACAAGGCAGGTCTTTTTCAAAATGACCTCCACCCAAAGCTACCCAAGAATTTACTCCCGTACCCAATGACACAAATCAAACTCAGCTCCTCCAACTTGTATATTTGTCCAATCTCTTCTTAAAGCTACCCAAGGTCCTAGCCTCGATCACCCTACTGGTAAGTGTGATGTTAAATAAGAAATTAAGAAAGTAGGAACTCTGGAACAGGCCTGCTGGCCCATACTAGGCCAGTCCTTCACAAATCCAACCCACTAACAGAACAAATGCTACCCAAACAATAAGCTCAGGTGCAAGTCCGACTCAAATCCAACCCCTCTCACTCGTGTATTTATCCAACCTAAATTTGAAACTACCCAAGCCATAGCTTTTAGAACATTGCAGTAAGTCTGTTGGCCCATATTAGGCCGGTCCTTCACAAATCCAACCCACTAACAGAACAAATGCTACCGAAGCAATAAGCTCAGGTGCAAGTCCGACTCAAATCCAACCCCTCTCACTCGTGTATTTATCCAACCTAAATTTGAAACTACCCAATGTTTTAGCTTCGATCACCCTACTAGGCAGACCGTTCCACTCATCAACTACCCCTATTACCAATGTTCATTTATACATTTTATTAGTGCCCTAGAGTCCTTATGGAGGGGGATTCCCTTTCCAAATAACATCTCTTCCCTCTCTCCTCCTCCCTGTCTTCCATTCATCAACAACAGCCTTCAATAAAGGTAACTGTCATGTTGAATGTTCATTCTTTTGTGCATGTAAATCTATCTTTTAGGTAAAAAAAAAAAATTTTTGTTGATACTTCTGGGTGTCTGGAACAAATTAATTGGATTTACATTATTTCTTATGGGGAAAATTGATTCGAAAATCGTCCATTTCGATAATAGTCCCACTTCCAGGAACGGATTATGGACGATTATTGAGGGACCACTGTAATGGAATAATGCAATTTTGTGTGAGACTGATATGGTGGTACGGTTACATACCACCACATCATAAAGTACATCTATATCTTACCTTTTTAGAAATTGGACCCTGACCACTAAATCGTTTCACATCGGCTGCATTTGTGTCCATCACAACAAACTCCGTTAGTTTCTTAGAGGTGCAGAGAGAGTTGAAAGGTGTTCGCCAGAAGACAGTACTGCTAACTTCTGCCACTGCCAGTATTAAGAATTGACTTAATCATTTATGTAAAACCATTAGTACATCTCTTTACCTTAATAAAAGTACTACTGTACAGTACATAGCATTATTAAATTTTTTCCCTTTCATTCAGTAAAAGAATTACAATATTATTCATACAATTAAAGCAGTATTTTTTAATAAAATTTTAGGTTGAAAATTCTAGGTGCTTAAATCATGAGAATTTAATGCAAAACGACTCTAAAATTTTGTGAAATCATGTGTAATCCCACAGCTGTATAGATGACCCTTAGCATTAACCCTTAAACGGTCCAAACGTATATATACGTTTTTTCAACATTTGAAAGTATGTAAAAAAAATGTACATCATCTTTTTTTTTTTTTACATTTGAAAACGTGTAAAAAAAACTTATCTACATTTTTTTTGGTTATATTTGAAAATATATAAAAAAGCCTAGATCTACTTTTGGAGCACTACGGATTTGAACGTCGATCTATTTGGACCGTTTAAGGGTTAACTAAGCTAACTATAACTACATTACAGTGTGAAATACTTCCTCCTTTGATCACTGAAGCTAAAACCTAGGTTAACTTTAAAAATAGGTTGGACAAATATGAGCGAGAAAGGTTGGAGTTGAGTAGAGCCTGCCTAGCAAGGGCAACTAGGCTTACTGCAGTGCTCCTCTATTCTGTTTTAACTGGCAACTCAGTGATCAACTACTGTAGGAATCCAGTGTGGTAGGCCCTCACTATGTCATAATTTCAATCCATCTTCCAGCTTTTTGCTGAAAATCTGGTCCTAAAATCTCGAACTATGCATGGGTATACACAGTTTTCACTAGTCTATGAACATAATATAAGTAGATTTAAAATATACCAAGGAGTGACAGCATATGGAAACAGATGCTGAGTAAATTATTAGTTCCCCAAGGGTTTGAAGGATAAGCTACCAACTGATTTACCTGACATTTCCCCATGTGCTACCAATTGATTTACCTGACATATCCCCATGTTACAGACTTATAACAACCTTGAATACAAAATTTACATAAATACATGAGATAGTTCTGAGGATTTTATTTTTAACACATCGGCCATTTCATACCAAGGCAGGATGACCAAAAAAAAAAAAAAAAGAGGAAACTTTCATCATCAATCACTCCATTACTGTCTTGCCATAGGCATGCTGGTACTATAGTTCAAAAACTGTAACATATCTCCAACCCTCCTTCAGAGTGCAGGCACTATACTTCCAGGACTCAAGTCCGGCTAATCGATTTCCCTGAATCCCTTCACAAAATATTATCTTGCTCACACTCCAAAAGCCATTTGTCTCCATTCACTCCTATCTAACACCCTCACGCATGCCTGATGCATCTCCAAGCCCCTTGCACACAAAACCTCCTTTACCTCCTCCCTCCATCTTCCTATGACAACCCCTACCCTGCCTTCCCTCCACTAAAGATTTATACACCCTCCAATTCATTCTACTTTGCTCCATTCTCTCTAAATGACCAAACCACCTTGACAACCTCTCCTCAGCTCTCTGGATAATACTTTTAATAACTCTACACCTCCTCCTAATCTCCAAACTATAAATTCTCTGCATAATATTTACAGCACACATTGCCCTCAGACATGACATCTCCACTGCCTCCAACCTCATTCTTGTTGCAACATTCCCAACCCATGCTTCACACCTATATAAGAGTGTTGGTACCACCATACACTTTATACATTCCCTCTTTGCCTATATATTCTCAGCAATATGTGGCTGCAGGGGTCAAGTCTTAGCTACTGGCCCCACCTCTCAACCTGCTGCTTGCCAGATTCACTCCTCCCTAGACTAGTGGACCTCATCATGCCTGCTCTTAAAGTAATGTAGTGAGCCTGCCTCCACCATTTCTTCACTAAGATTATTTCACTTTCCGAACACCCTCTGAAGAAATACTTCTTGACATTGCTGCAACTTCTGTGTTTTTAATTTCTAGACGTGTCCCTGAGTTCCTGTTCCTCGCCTCTCAAACCGTCTGTCCCTGTCTACCCTATCAATTCCCTTGAGTATTTTATTTATTGTTATCATATCTCCCATGGTTCTTCTAGTTTACAATGTCATTAGATTCAATTCCATTAACCTCTCCTCATAGTTCATGCCCCTTAACTCAGGAACAAGCCTTGTTGTGTACTTCTACATTTTCTCCAGTTTCTTAATATGCTTCCTCAGGTGTGGGTACCATACTCGTTCTGCACATTCCAAGATGGGAATGACATATTTTGCAGAAAGTGGTTGGAAAGATTCTTGTTGAGATTCCTGATGGCCACTCTTAGATTTGCTAGGCAAGCATTAGCTACATAGGTTTTTCAGTTGATGGACAGTCTGAGTAGGAAGCATGTGATGATACAATAAAAGAAATGTGCAGAGTGCAAAGGTATGTGCTATATTATGACTGAGGAGTATCCTAGAACTGAAGGTCAGACTGAATGAATGGAAGAGTAAGTGATTATTATCATCATTAGGTTCACTGGAAATGCCAAACTTATAAGGGTTATACAATGCCAGTAGAGAGAGGCTGGAGGTAATCAAGTTAGATCCAAGGAAGGTGAGGATAGGTGAGGATAAGTCTAATTCCTTTTCTTAGGAGCCCTACACTGGTATCAAGGCACTCCCTTGAAAGATGAGAAATGAATGTATATGCATATACGTAAATTTGTGTGTACGAAGGGAAGAGAGAGAATATGAAGATATGGCAAGTGTGTGAGAAAACATGTCATGCATTTGAACAAAGCATAAGAAGTGGCAATAAATAGGTCTAAGTGGAAGCAGTGTGTCAGGAGAATGATCAAACTGAAAAAAACCAAGAATATTGTCCTAACTAAACCTAATGAAACACCACTACATCCCACTGACACAGCTAACAAGATAAACGACTTCTTCTCAACCATAGGATCTAATCTTTGCCAAAAAAATCCCCCCATACTAATGCCCCTGCCGGGGACTACCTAATGGGAATTTCCCAAAATTTTTTCTATCTTGCCCCCAACTGAAACCCTTCGGAAATCACCGAGATTATAAAGGGCATTAAAAAACAACTCAGGGAAACTGTTAATGTTTTAAACCCTTACTGTACAAACGAGCGGCCCATATCCTTTCGGGATGCTATTTCATTAAATTTTTAACAAGTAAATAGAAACTAGCACCTTTTCCCCAAAAATATCAAGATGGCAAGGGGGTTAAAACCCAAAAACATTTAAAAGGGGGTGAAAACCCCCAGACTTAAACAACTATAGGCCCAAAATCAAACTTCCATTGCTATCAAAATCTTTGAGAAACTCGTGGCACAGGGACTATATTCATTTATAACAGCACAAAAAAATACTAAAAAACCCGCAAATTTTGGGTTTAGGGGAAAAATAAAGCACTAATGGGTGCAAACATAAAAAAGTGATCTGTTTCACAGCATTGGAAAAAAAGGAATTTCACTAGGAATTTTTTTTGACCTAAGTAAAACTTTTGCACAGTGACCCCGACATCCTACTTTCCCCAAACTTGGGCCTTACGGTTTTTTAAGAGGCCATGGTTGCTTTTTTAAAAACTTACCTTACTAAAAAGGTTTTCGTATGTTTTCCCTTAACCCCTTTGGAAGGGGCGAGGCCCTTCCGAAACTCGTTCCAGGGTCGGGCCCCCAAAATTTTAAAAAAAAAAAAAAATTTTTTTTTTCTTATGAAAAAAAAGAATTTTTTTTTCTAAAAATTTTTAGGATTAAAAAAAAAAAAAAATTTACCATCAAAACTTTCGGAGTTTGGATGCATGAAGGGTTTCCCGGGAAAAAGGCCCCGTATGGGAACAAACGGCGACTGCCCCTAACCCCGGGAAACTTTTTAGTTTACTTGAAATTTGGGAAGGGTTTTTTGTTTTTTTTTAATATTTTATTTTTTTCCCTTAACTTATGTGGCCTGTGAGACCAAAATAAGGTGCAATGTACATATATTACACTCGTTTTATCAAACCAAATAAGCACAAAAAACTTTAAATTTTCCCAAAATATTGTTTCAAAAATTGTTTACAAAAACAAACAATACCAAAAAATTGTTTATTATTAATTTTTTATAATATTAAAACCAAAATTTCAGTCACTGAACATTTTTCCCATTAGTTCTGGTTGTGGAACTTGAAACATGGGGGTCTACACAAAGGTGTTTTATCTTTCTCCCCCATTCTATCTCTTTCAATCTGTCTTTTTCTTTTTTTGTCTATTTTATCTCTGTCTACAGGTACACATTAAATACAAGTATACCCTAGTTATTTAAATTACCTAGGATAAACCCCCAAAAAATCCAGACCAAAAAATGCTATTTCTTGCTTTTAAAATTTTGAGGTTTAAAAATGAAAGAACAGTTTGTGGCTCTCTGAGACAGGGGAAACCTTGACGGAAAAGACAGTTTGACAGGGAGGCTTTTAAGAAGACCAAAAAAGAAGACAGAAATGATTTGGGTAAAACCATAACCCGGGTTCTAGTGTTCCACCCTCCTCCCTTTTTTCTTCCTCTTTCCCCCTCTTCCCCTTTCTTTTTCCTCATTTTCTTCCTCTTCTCCTTTTTCCTCTTTTCCCCCTAATTTCCTCTTCCTCCTCCCCCTCTTCCTCCCCTCCCTCTTTTTCCCTCTTCCCCCTACTTTCCTCCTCCTCCCTCTTCTTCCTTTTCCTCCTCTTCCCCCTAATTTTCCCTCGTACTTTTCCTTTTCCCTCCTTTTCCTCTTATTCCTTTCCTCCCTACTCTTCCTCTTCCTTCTCCCCCCTCTTCCCCCTCCTCTTCCTCCTCCTCCTCTTCCCCCTCCCCCTATTCCTCCTCCCTTCCTCTTCCTCTCCTTCCTCCTTTCCTCTTCCCACTACTCCTTCTCCTCCTTGATCCATTGTGTAAATTACAGGAGTCCGCAGCTGTCAAAGTGACATATTGGCCTCATTACTCATTTCCCCCTCGGCATGTCAAAAACAATGGGGTCGGATGCTGCTTCCCCC